GCCTGATGCCCTGGAACTTTAGAAGCTGCAGGAGGGATGCGCCCTGTAGCGGTGGAACTGTCCTGCACGGTATCAGCTGTCAACCGGGGGCCGTTCTTAAGGAAGCGATTTCGTCGTGGCGAAGCGAGGCGGTGCCGAACCATTCACCCGTGAAAACGCTTCCAACATGTTGTGAGCAACTGTTTCAAGAAAGCTCCGGTACGTATGCAATATTATTCAATTCATTATGCAATACTGCAATACTTGTACCTACAGCCTACATGCACCGGGTCCGCACATGCCTACATTGCTGAGGTACTCCAATGATGGCTTCGGTTTGGCAGGATTGATGCTGGAGACTGTCCTGCAAGAATCGTGGGAGGAGCTGGTCCGGAAGCACATCTTCGAGCCCTTGGGGATGACTAACAGTGGAGCCTTGGCCGCCTGAGAGGCCCTGAAAAAGCACGTTTCCCAGAACTGGGATGATGCCGACAGCTCATCCATTTTTGATGGCTTAACATTCACATTGACACTTTTCATCACTTCTGCCAACCAATGAGGCTTCTACGCCATGGGTGCCTCAGCCCCGCGCGGGGCACAGCGCAACTTCATTTGGGGCACGAGGCCCGGCGGGCCGGGAGAGCCCGGCACGCCGATGGACCCTACCGAAGGTCCAGGTGCAGACAACCCGGCAGCCATTGGCCCAGCGGGGGTCATCCATGGAAGTTTGGAGGAGATGGGCAGGTGGATCGGTCACAGTTGGCTGGGGGAACTGCATGGAAGGTCATGTGAGCCGTGGTTTGTGATTGAATGAAAGAACGATTATTATATAGACTGACGGTGACTCACCAAATGTGTGCGAAGGCATTTATGCGATACCTTACGTGTGGCGAAGGCTCGCGAAGCCTGGAAGCCTCTGAAAGGTTGCAAAAGTGTTGCGCGAAGCTTTCGCTGTGTAGATAGATATATATATATATTACCGTACATTATAATATAGAATATATATATATAGACACTTTACCTTTTAAAACACGGCTCACATGGTTGGCCCAATGGTTGGCTGGATTATGCCGGATTTGTTTCAATAATGAAGTTCATTGTCGCTTGCTCCATGGTGATATTGCCAAGACAGCTCTCAAGAGCAGGCACTTTAAGTGGGAGCACTTCCCCACTTTCTCCAACTGCTCCGCGGAGAGAGACTTGAACGGGCCTTTGCGCACTCATTGTTGATTCGCCTGTCTATGCAGAAACGAAGTGCCCACTGGGCATGCCCTACAAGAGCAACTCCTCCCTCCATCCAACCTTCCTGTAATTGAGCATAATGGCTCTCATACAAGGACAGCTACTGTACAAGGAAGTTCCAATTCTACCCATTCGCCCGATAGCCCGAATGCAGGATGTGGCCCGATTTTTGGCTGTCCACTTGGACCACCGATGCTTGGAGATGCACCTTCAATGACTATATATAATAGGAACTAAGTTCATTCCGTTATTTTCTCAAACTCAGTGCTTGAATGGTCTTGAACGCATGTACATACACTTATGTGATCTTATGTGTACATATATTATCATATTTATATACATAGTTTCACACACACACATATATATATATACATGTGTATTATTTGTTTGTTTGCTTGCATGATCAGGTAGACACATCATGTCCTCTCAAGACCCCGCATAGTATGTTATAGTTACATTTGGAATCAATCTTCTTCAGCGGAGTGGAGAAACGATGTGCTAGCATATCTCAGAAAATGAGCATCCCTATAGAAACACTGCTGGAGGCGCTGGAAGACCAGCGGTAAGCTTTGATTCTTGTTGGTTAACTATTGCTCCCATTTTCTAGATCAAGACAGACAGATTCTGCGGCAAAGACTTCAAAGCGCACAAACAGTTTGTCAGCCACATTGAGAGAATCATTGGAAGGTAAGACGAGAATCTCCCCCGCCTCAAAAAATCCTTTCTGGGGGGCGTTCAAGGGGCACCGAACCCAAGGATATGCTCAGGAGAAGCTTGGATTGTCACAAGCCACCTTGGCAAAGCTTCACGGTGCTCCAGATGACTATCCTTATGCCTATGGATGGCTCATTGGCGGTTCAGGCATTCTGACACATGACGGATCTAATACAATGAACTACATGCATCCTTGATCCAAAGAAAGTATCGCTTTCCGAATGTGTTGTTGATGGTTGATTGCGTTGAGAATTGCTTGTTTCTGATGACTTTCTGTACCAACTACACGTGATCACGTATACATATACAGTATACATATTATATTATATATATATATTTGGATAGAGTAGAGTAGGTAGATACAGTAGATAGATAGGTAGATTCAGTGGCCCGCCACAGCTGTCCAACATTTATTTATTTACTTTTTTTATCCATCAGCCGTCTCCAAGCGCAGCATGGTTCGCTTTGGTGGAGACCAGCTGACTGAGGTCAGTGCGGTCGGTGCTATGGAATTTAGTGCTCGGGCCAGGTGTCTCCATGTGGTGAAATCCCCCGGAGCAGCTTAGCTGAGGCATCTCAAAATGTGGAAAGAAGACGGAATCGCCGTGATTTCGACCCTCAATGCGGGCCTGGCAGCTTCTGAGATGGCACAGGAGCTCGGAGAGAAGGCCAAAGCAACTCAGCAGGAGCCATTTGCTACAGATGATGCCATTGATCGCCCTGAGAATTGGTGCTGCTGATAGCAGCGAGCAATGCATCCAACGCGTTTTTGAAGTCTTGAAGATAGATTTAGATAGCATTGCTTCTCACGTAGGGTTTGATCACCCAAGTGGCCAGCCAAAGCATTCAGTTTGTTGTTCTTCATGCAGAGAGGATATAGACTTGAAGAGAAACGTTTGATGGTTAGCCCTTTGGACAGAAGGCGGTGCTGGCAGTGGGTCAGCGTCTTGAGTGTCCCTTAGCATTGCTTTGATTTGGCTATTCCAATGAAACACGGTATGTCTTGAAGTCTTGAATGGGGTCGCGGGTCCTCCCAAATTCTGATACAGGGCTTGCAAGTTGAATGTTAATGCCTAAAATCGCTTGAATTCATCAGTTTTGGAGCGAAGGCAGCGAAGGCAGCGAAGGCGCAAAGGAAGCGGCTCTTCCTCAGGAAGATCCGCACAGATCCTTGTGCCTTGCGAATGCCTCGTGCTCATACTTGTTGCATCGTTTTGCTGTGCAGCATACTGTGTTCCCTGAATGGATCGAAAGGTGACGGGCAACGTTTGGGGGAAACCGGCACAGATCTGCTTGGGGACTCTTAACAGAACAAGTCTGGAGAAGCTCGAGAAGCCACAACTGTGGCTTTGCTCTGACAGTTGCTTCTTGAAAATGGCCGAGACACGTTGTTCCCGCGCCGCGTGGACCACGCTTTCCTTCCAACGTCTCCTGTCGTGTTGTCAGCCGGAACGTCCTGGCAGGTACTGACTTGAGGCTGAAAAACAGTTCAGGAAGGGGTTTCAGTCTTGTCCAGACAATGATGGGCCGTTCAGTATCCCAAGTTGGAACTGGAAGCATATTTAATTATATTTAATTTATGTAGAAGTAAAACCGATTGATTCCGTACACAGAGCATGTAGACTAGATGCAATGATTGCTTGATTACGGCGAAGGGCATCAATCAAGGCAGACAATTTCACACCTATCTATGTCGATCATTTGGAGGGATCCAGGATCTGCGAGACTGGATTCTTTGGCCTTGCTGCTGGGGTTTGCACCTGCATGTGCATGTTGGGGCATCAGCTATCGGAGAAATCCTATCTCCAGACTACTACAACGCTGTGATGAACAGAACCTGAAACCACTACCGCCACAAGAGCCACAGGCCCTAACTCAGATCGAGTCCTGTCCCTGTTCTTGAGGTCTGCTAGCAGCCTGGCCAAGCTTCCTCCCATTAGCAAGGCATGAGCGGCGACGGCGACTGGCGGGAAATCCGGCGTTTCGGCCATGGCAAATCAACAAAAGCAACTCATATGATCGAACAAATTATAAACAGTCTGCTTCATGTACAAAAATGAATGTTCCAAAATTGCTGGCTGTGAGCTGAACTTCTTGAGGAAACCTCTTCCAGGTTTCATTCATGATGGGTGGACCTCCGCTGGGGTTTGGAAGTTGCATGAGCCTGCCAGCACACCCGAAGGAAAGTAAAAAGCTGTAAAAAGTAAATATTCCAACTGGCCCATCCAGTGGCACAGAGCCAACGAAAGTTGTGGTAAGCGGGTCTGGCAGCGATGTTTTGTCTGTAAAGGTTAAGATGGAATTGTCCACAAAGGACCCTCGTGGTCCTTTTTGCCTTTGGGATCCAGATGCAGCTGATAGCTCGGCAGCTTGGCCTGGCCAAACCGGGGTGGGTTTTCAGACATGACTTGGCGACCACATGAGCCAGAATATGCACAAAGGAGTCGTGGCCGATTATGGCCCATATCATGAGAGAGCAAGCGCGAGAGCACGCTACACTGGATCCCCAGAGAGCCAGAAGGGCTTCTTGCAAGCCCGAAGGGCTGCGCATGAGGCTTCCTGCCCGCCCGGGCGCTTCCCGGGTGAGGGGAGAGCGAGCGATATTTGCGCTGACCCTCCGAAAAAAGTGCTGTGCCACAGGTGGGGTTCAGCCTTATTAAGCCCAATCCACCACAGTCACCGATGTTCTGTCAAGAGGTGGTGATAGTTCTAACTTCTGACTTCTGACATGATTTGACACACGAGATGAAACTGCTGAGCAGTTTGACCTACCACGTTTCGCGAAGGACTGTTTCAATAATCACTAACCCAGTGCTAGGAGTTTTGACCCCCTTGCATTTCCAGGGAAGATGCTTCACAACAGATATCAGGGAGGAATCAATGCTAGATGATGCTAAATGAAGATGGCGTTGGCTTCCCCTATCTAGGAGTGTGCTGGCATGATGTGCTTGCAGATACTTTACAGTGTATGCACTGTGATGCGCACACTTGGAGCAGAGCATTTGCAACTGTTGCACCGTTGCACCTGACACGCCTCACCTTTGGATGAACAATCGCCGCCTAAGGATGCTGCACTGATGCAGCATGGCATCACCAGCCACAATGCGGCCTGGGACTCTGGAGAAGTTCTTTCGACCAATTGGCAATTTGACATCACTGAAGGGCGATCTGTACATTGCGTAAATGGCAACGTTTGATTGCTATGAGTTTTTCCCAACTATAAAATTCCGAAAGTATCATCAACATTTATTACATTTGATGTGCGGGAAGTTTGGCACATGGCACATGTGTGACTCATGCGTGAAGGGGCGATGCTTGAGCCCTGGGAAAAGCAGAAGTTGTTCAACGCGGTAGAAACGACTCAGTCGTGGCAGTGTATTCAGTGTATTGTCACAGATTCGTTCTACAGCGTCTACGGTTTTGCATCCTCAGATGTAGGCCGTCGCTGTATCAGCACGATCTTTGCTTTGACTAGCATGTTGGACAAAATTTTGGCGATTTGGTGGGTATCCACATCCAAAAGCCATGAATCCCTCTCGCTCACATGTAGAACAAAGTGAAACAGAACTCCTGGGTTTTGGGGTTGATGTTCTGGTTCGGGGACTGACTGGGATGACCCCGGGTCATAGGTAGGGAAGTGACACCTTGCTGGAACATGCATTGGAAATCGCAGACCTGCTCCAATGCGCAAAGAACCGTTTGAGAAAAAGCACTGAACCGGGCTTTTTTGATCTACATCACCACGGCCTGTGGCGTGGCCCTGTGCCGCCGTGAGGTCCTTCTCAGGGACGCGCTCTCCAAAGAGTTCCAGGGGCCCAGTCTGGACAGCTCAGCGAACAGGTCTAAAGTTTGAAGACAGAGCCGAAGCCGGGGCCATGTTTGGCAGCAACGACTTTGACCCTAAGAAAGGCTCATGATGGATATATAGTTATATAGAATATATAGTTATATTATATATTTTTACGTACACAGATACATATCGATCTATTGTAATATACATATTACATCATATTACTAGTTTTGATGAGCTACTATGTGATTGTGTTTTGCTTAACTTCTCCATCCTTCATCCTGTTCGAAGCAGTTCTTTGATTACAACAACATGTATGGTGTCTATATGATGGTGTTTTTTTGCTTCGTGCTTGCCCATTCTATTGATGGCAAGAAGGCCTTGAGAGCGCTTGGTCATTCTTAAGACTTTGCATTGAACAATGTGTTCGTTCTTTCTCTCTCCATCTCTCTTTTTCTCAAGCTGATTGCTGCAGCCACATTCGCAAGTAGATTGCTAGACAGACAGCGGCCAGTGAAAGACCTGGACCAGACCATGACACTGTGAGACCTTGATTCACGTGGTTTTTGCTCATAAAGGTGCTTCCTCGGCAACTCTAGGGCAAAGATATTCAAATTTGACTCTCTCTTTGGCTGTCCTGGCATCCTGTGGTCGGTTTAACTTGAGACTAGGGTCCAATTCAAATTTGTGTCGGCCAATGCATGCGGCTTAGATATGCCTCACACGCTGATCTTCGACTACCCTTCGCCGGGGACCGCAGCCGGGGTGAAACTAGGCATGGAGTCAATGGAGCATTCAATCAATGAAGAAGGCATTGCCCTAGCATTGACAGCAGAGCCTTTTGATCGATCACATAGAACGGTGCACCCACGTTTAAACATTCCAGCGGTCGCCTACTTTGACAATGTTCCAACATGCTATCCCAGCCCTTCTGTTCATGTCACACAGGGAACACGGTGCCTTGTCAAGATTGTTGGACCAAGCACAGGGCTTGCCAAGTGATGTCCTAAAGAACTTCAATCGTAAGGCCAAGCATTCCAACACCAAACTGGTGCTGCGCCCGGCCTCACGCGTCAGGGTGCTTGACCTCACAGAGTACATCATGGTACGAGCTCAAAAGTGAATGGTCTCACCGCAGGCAGCTCCTTCACAGCTCGACTCAGCAGTACTGTCCAGGTCCGACGGAGGTCCTTCCCTCCGTTGCGACGGTCCACGGAGTCCACAGAGGGATGGACCTCCGTGTTTTTTTGCATCAAGACAACATCAGCACACCATGAGAGAGAACAGACCACCGATTCCTTTGCAAGACATGGTCCGTTGAAAGACATGAATCTGCCAGACCCTGCGCCCTAAGCCAGCCATATCCCCTTCATCATCCTTCAGATCCCCATTTTCAGGAAGGCTTTCAACATCCACACCAAGAAGATCCCAGAATTCTGGTCCTTTGGAGAGTCGTGGGACAGTCCGCGAGTTTCGGCCTTCGCTGTGCCCTACCGTGCTCGGCTCTCCGTCTCGCTAGCTTCTCAGGTTTCTCTCGGTCCAGGAGCCCCGTTTGTGGCGTCCGACCGGCTCCGTTCGTAGCGATGCCAGGAGCCCCTTTCGTAGCGAACCTTGTTACTAGTAGGGTGAAGGTGAATAGATTTTGGTTGGACCCCACGCCGTTGAAGGGCGCACTGCCGTATAAACATCCCGCTACCTGGTACATTCAGAGGGAACGTTTGTATTTTCCTGCATGGGACCCGGTCAACTGGTTAGTTTGAGTGGGAAATGGGAGGATCGTGAGGTCATTCTAAGGCGGGGTTAGGATTCTCGGGCTTTTGCAGGGAAACCGGTTACTTCCAACTTGAAGTCTTGGACCTGGTGGCCTTGACTGCCTTTACTCCGCCCAAGGGTGCTGTGCCACCCACTTTTGGTTAGCTTTCATCCGAAGAAGCAGGCTTGGCCCTGGAAACTTGGGAGAGCCAGTTGTCAGTAGTCTTCCAAATCGTGGCAAAAAGGCGAGAAGTTGCGAGAAGCTGATTTCGGACGTGTCGTGACTTCATCACTGATGGGAGAGATGGAGACGTGACATGACGTGACTTCATCCGCCAAGAAACGGACTGTAACAGGCAGATTCAGAATTGCCCAATGTGTTCTGGCAAACCCTTAAGTATCACTCAGCGTGAGGGGAGCAAATTCAATTTTTCTGACCACCGACAGCGCCACATGGCCATGAATCCTCTTATGTTCGAGTTTGACAAGAAAAGCAACCCCCGCGATCCCAGATGAAGGAAAACGGAAGATCTTTCTAAGTCGTCCAGGACTGTGAAAACCAGCAGTGTGTTTCGTCCACCCTGTTTCACCGCCGACACCGGCAGCCGCCGTTTCGGCTCATGGGCTCGGCCCCTCCCGACCCACCAGGCCCGGCGTGTCGCGGTCGCAGAGGTTCCAATGGAATTAGATACCGAGGTGAGCATGAGTCCAATCCGACACTTGAGCTTGACTCTCCAAGATATTTTTATGTAACATTATGTAACATATACATATAACATATTATCTATATATCTACTATAAACATGCAAATACGTCAGAACGTGAGGTGGATAGCTAGACACCTAGAACGTGTGACGCTGTACGTGCATGTCGATGTACATGTACATGGTTGGGAGACGTGAGGGGCAAAGAGGGCAACGAGTAGTTTCAGACATGTTTTTTCTGCAATGCGTTTTACCAACAAGTCCTTGGGTAAGGAGCAAAACATAGCAAAACAGCAAATAATGACAATATAATCATCCACATCACCTACAGAACGGCTGGATTTGGTGGCTGGACATTCTCCACAAGGCGCACCAGTGAGGTCTTTGGTATCTTTCGCTGAACCTTGGGCGGCTCAAGGGGCACTGTTCCCCGAGCACCTTCCGGCCGGGCGGCCGCGTGGCAAGGCCGTGGGAAGGGAGGATGCTGGTGCCTTCCGTGAATGATCCCCAAAGAATCCCGACTCCCAGACTCCCAGACCATATTCTCAGAAAGTGGTTAGGCCCCCTCAAACCCACCTGAACCACATTCTCAGGAGGTATAGTTGGAGCCCTGGGGGATTTGTAAGGTTCTTTGTTAAGGCGCGTCAGTTGGTTCTGAAGCCGCAGGCAATACTTTTGCCCATTTCACGAGAAAAACCATCCAAAAGGTACCAACAGCATTCGGGCGTTTGTTCTCAAATCTTCAGAAATGGTGCAAACTTTCAATTCCTCCACATCTCCAGAATCACGCGCCAACCACCTATGGAGAACCACCGCCGTTGGAACCCATCAGAACCCACATCCCCGCGTCGATGTGACCCTTTTGGGAAAGAAAACCGACGCCTGAAACGATGCTGAATCGTGGTGAAGAAGCTGAAAGCATCGCGCCGCTGAAATGTGCTGCTGAGGCCATGGATTCGGTGATTCGCCAGGCACACCGAAGCTTGCAGAAGACCTCCTCGGGCCAAGGTGCAAAGGGACATCGTGTTGGGCCCGAGTTGGTGGAGTAAGGCGCTCTTTCTTCTAAATTTTGATGGTTCCAAGTTCCAAGTTCTTTTGCTTCATTCTTCCAATTGCTGTAAAAAGTTGTTTTGATGGTTATAGTTATGGCCATGGCTATCATTTACCGGCCTTGAAGGCCTCTAACATACTTCGGCCCACTGCTTGGCCCAAGCTGTGTTCTGCGAGGCTTCGAACGAAGAGCGGACCGAAGAGGTAGCGCGCGTAGCAGCTATAGCGATGAGTTGATGAGAACCTTGGAGCGGCACAAAACTTGCCGTTGAATGGTCATCCATGGTCATCTTGACATAGTTCAACCGTGTCCATCGTTTTCCAAAAGGGCTTCAACTGCAACTCTTGGGTATTGGTCAATCGATTAAAATAGAAACGCTATGAAACACTTATATGCGGTCATGTCCTATACACAATCGATTTGTGCACCTCGACAAAACTCAGCCCTTGTTTTCCTTAGGGTTGTGCACATTTTGACCGTACCTTCCCACGGTTTGCAGGCTGGTTGGACGAGACTGGACGAACTCACAGATAACGAGCACTGGCTTTTGAGGGAGCCACACTGTGAAAGACCTAGCACACAGCTAGCCCCAGAAGCGCCAGCACATGGCAGTACCAAAATGTACAAAAAACATGCAACTTGAACGCATGCCAAGGGCACTAGGACATGCTTTTCTTTGGAAGAGGAGAATGCATCAAAATAGCGCTTGCCTCATGTTGAGAGCACGTGGAATGCAATAGAGAAGAAGGAGAAGGCAGACAGCAAGCATATGGATGAATGCTGTGTTGAGCCAACAAACGGTACCATTTTCCATAATTTTCTTATTTTTGATCCTTCTCAAGTCAAGGTTTAATTATTTGTCTCCAGAGCCATGGAAATATATATATATACGTACCTTCTCAGGCCTTCATATGTTCATATCTTCCCGGATGAGGTGAGAGGCTTAATTGTTTATTTTTGTCAGCACCATATCCAGTGCCACTGACCAAGGGCATCCGTTGATGTCGAGTGCCAGCTGCATGCTATCCATGAGGAGCTGAATGTCCACTTTGGACCTCGAAGACGGTTTCTTGCTTGTTTGCTCACCGTTGTTCCTTATTTGTCAGATCTATTTATATAGGCTACTTTGATCTACTGCATATACATTGCAGACATTTCAGAAAGGCTTTGCAAAATATTTGCTTGTGGTTTGATACGGGATTGTGAGCTGCTGAATGGCATCATAATCTGTTAAATCCAGCTTTCTGGTTGGGCAGATGCTTGGAGAGTAAGCGGCTCACCGCTTGTGGCAGGAAAGAAAACCTCAAAGAAATTCTCGTCGAACGAGAAAACCGTGCGCTTGCCAAGCGTGTGCTCAATGTGGCCTAGCGGCAAGACAGGCGTCGTTGCTGGACATGACTACGACATACTACCACCAAAGGTGAGGGCTCGTTCTAACTATGGCTTGCATTTTGTGCAAACTCCTGGTGATTCACCTCATCTCCTGAAAAAAGAGTCCCCCGACCGTGCTGAACGAACGTGCCACATGCACGGCTTTTTCCAGACCACGTGGAATCGTTCGATCCGGCCGAGGTCAAGTCCTTTTGCGATCCCAACGGGAAAGATCTGGACGACTATCGACGCCATCAGCGGATGGTCCAGGTTCGTCAGGACGGTGAAGAATTGGCGCAAGCTGAAAGAAAAAGCAATAGTTCTGAAATGAAACAGGTGTCCATTTCCAGGGTGGAAATACAGCACGGCGTTTTCCCAATTTCCGCGAAATTTGACTAAGTGCGTAGTCTCAGGTCATATATAGACTTGCCCTTCCGTGTTTGTCCTAAAGCCAGTGAGCGAAGCAGAGAGAGAGGGGCTTTAAAGCTGTGTTGGCCCCAAATGCTATGGCGGTGAAACAAGATGTGAGAAATCAGAATGTGAACCCAAACGGGTCGAAACGATGGGACCTTCCAATTTGGTCTCACAGCCGAACATGGACCAACAAAAGGGGTTGTCCCAGTCGGCCTTTCGGAGTCGAACGAGTCCAAAGGGCCATCCTGTCACGCCCTGCCGGCTCGCCGTGCTGCCAGGAGTTTCATCACTATAGCGCTTTGGGCTGCATCCGATGAAGACGAAACGCGTGTGTTTGGCCGTTCACGGACGGGACGGCTAAGCAGGTGTCCTTCCCAACACAACTTCTGGGGCTTCCAAGTTTGATTCCAACAGAGCAGCGCACAATTTCATGTTGTTTCGGCGATCTACAAAAGGTAACTGAGTATTTGATCGATGCATTAGATTTCAAATGATTTCAATATTTTGATTTTAGTGTGGGGCCCAAAGGAATGTGGGATTAGATTTGTTCATTCATTCAAGTGTAATTATTTCTGAAGTGTAACTTGGCGTTGTGACAAGGCGCACAAAAGCTCTAGCCTTAGGGGACCCCAGCCTGTCGAGTAGATTTTCGATGACTCCGTCCCTCCAAAGTCTTGGGCGCCATTGGATGACGCAACCAATGGTTGGGGGTTGGGCCTTGGCCCCCCCTGTTGGAAGATGAAGCAACCAGCGTTGCAGCCTTTGGCGATATAACATATATCTCACCGTGCGACAGGAATACGATGTGAAACGGTATCCCATCTTTTGATCTCCCCGCCCAGTCGTGAGCCGAAAGCGCCTACCCGCCCCCCAACACAATCGCCACGGTTCCTGGCGGTGACTGAGCTGCGACGGTTCGTGGCAGGTGGCACGCAGGTCGCAGCAGCTCGGCAGAAAGCACAGAAGAGCCCGTCCAAGCCTAGAGTGGCGGCCAGCACCACGGCCAAAGCGGAGGAAGGGAATGCTACGGGCTTTTTATGGGGAAAGCAGTGCCTATACGGCCTACGGAGTGGGTTTGCTTTTGCTCCAGATGAGTATTTTCAATGAGCAAGTTTGACTATGTTCCTCCACTTGCTAGAGAGGAGGTTGTCATTTTTTGAGGGACACTCGATTATGTTCATGCTGGCAGGAAACACTGACACCCGTGAACACACCTTGTGTGCTTTGTGTTCTATGTATTCCACATATGACATCGCTCCTGTGCACATGGCCTTCATTCAGCTGGGGAGACGTCTCCGAGGCCTCTCTGAGTCTAACCTGCATCACCTCGATTCGCTCCTGTGCCCATGGGATTTGCCCAAGGTGAGCGGCCGAGACACAAACACAAGGTTTGTAATACATACAGCATGCACCGCAGAGCAACATTTCATGGTTGCAGTTGCAGTGTTTTGATATGTTTTGATTGTTGCTGAAGAAACAAGCTTTGCAACGACAGCCCGGTACAGCCAAAATGCTCAAGAAGTAAGAATTGTAAAACGTGAATTAAATTTGACATTGAGAACAAAATGAATCTTCTACGATTGTAAAAATCGTTCATTGGAGAGAGCCTGATTTCAAATTTCAAAAAAAGTTCCAAAAAAAGTCAGTTCTTCTTTTATTTGTTTCCGACTTTTGTTTGACGTTTTGTTTTGACATGTTTTCGACTTTTTCGAGTGGTTGACTTTTATTTGACTTTCTTTGACTTTGTCGAGTTGTTTTGTAATTTGGAAATTGTTTGACTTGTTTTTTTTGACTTTTTCGAGCAGTTGTATATTTTTGACGGTTTGTTTTGACTTTTCAATTTGACTTTGTTTAATCAAGGATTCTGGCCTTACCATATGAAAGAATATGAAAGATGTTTATACAGTTCTTCCTTGATCTTCCTTGTAGTAGTGTCCATTCTTCCAATACAAAGATAGGCCTTTGATTGCGTAGAATGGACCCAACAACATGCGTGGAGCTGTCATGCCAGGCCAATCACCCTTCTCAGGCACAGGGTGCCACTGGGCTTTTGCATGGGCTGGGGCCTGACACGTGTTCGAATGACCATATTTCTATTTTGTTTGGTTCTTAACACATGTCACATGTCTCTTTTTGAGGTCAACACATGTCTCTTTGCTTTGTGCTTCTCCGGTTCACGGAGAACTACTTGAACCGCCCAACACCTGCGTCGTGTAGATCAGATTGGGGACGGATCTCCTCGGTCTTTGACCGACCCAGTGACCCAAGTGGGATTGGAATACATGGCTCCAATAGGAAAAGGAAGCTGGGTTCTTGGCTGAATGTATCATTCGGGTGTGGAGGATGTTTCTATATAAGTCAGTTTCTAATTTCTGCCCGTCTTGAGCGATACGCTGGGCAACCTTAAGACAGTTTTCGGCGTAGCCTGCTGAAAGTGGCTCAAGTTCCCCAACGTGTCGCTTGTTACTCCTCCAAGGAAGATTCAAGCGCCGAGAAGTTAGCAGTTGCTGAAGTTGCTGAAGAGAAGAGTCCGCAGGGGGCCAAGAAGCTTTGCTTTGCATAAAAGATGGCCTCAAAGAGCTTTACGAGCCTAAATTAAGAAGTTTATCGCTTTGACTTGGAAACGGCATGCTTGTTCCGGGAACGCTGCACTTGGGTTGCTCGTTGTGAAGCCCTGTAGCTTCCTTAAGCTGAGAGGAGCAGGGCGGTTCAATAAAGAATAATATATTCCACCGACCAAAAAGCCACATTGGTGTGTCCAGAATAGGAAAGCTGCAAGAAGACTCCAGGCAAAGGCAAGGTGAGACAAATCAAAATCTATTGCCTCTTTCTGTGCGATAAAGCCTGAAGCCTTAGAACTGTAAGGACATACGAGCACAATGATAGACAGTGTGACTGCTAATTTGTTTCTATATTGAAATGTTTTTGATTTCTATTCGTGATCTCACAAATTCCTTTTCCCTCCTGGTTGCGGTGTCGAAAGCCCAGGGGAGCTGAAGCATCTGGAGAAGCACCTGAAGCTGCTCCTGTGGCCATGGCCACCTTTGCTTCCTGGCCAAGCTTGATTTTTGGGCCTGCGCATGTGGAATTTGCGATGTGTGTTTAGACATCTCATGTCAAACTGTGTTTGGTCAACAGCAGGAAGCTGTCTCCCACCGAACTTCCACAACTCCGAGACTGCAATCCTCCAGTTGTGAGGATTGAAAAAGATGAAAAAAGAAAAAAGCCGGCAAACAGCCAATGGTCCCTACTGCGTGCTGGACTTGCTTGAGGGTGGTCAACTCAAGTTCCCGGAAACATGCAGAACCGTGGATGTTGTTGCTGACTTATGCTGTAACTTCTCCAACTACGAAAAGAGACACGGCCAAGCAATGTGCGAAACCCCCAAAGCACTCCCAATGATGTTTTTGCCATTGGGGAAAGTCAGAGGATGCGTGAGGATTCCGAATGGTGTGCATATATATATACATATAGAATTTTTACTTATACCCGTAATCCATTCTGTTTGTTTCCGGTTGTTTGTTGCAACGGGGCGTTTAAAGGCTTTAATTGCTAGCTCAACTGGACAATACTGGACAATACATACACAATCACAATATTACATAATTTCTGAAATGTATTAGGACGCTATTAGGTGGAGGCCATCGCAAGTATGTTGGAGGCCATCCCTACCAGCAACAAGAAGCCACTAGTAGCAAGGACGCTATTATTTTTTTTGTGACGATGCCGCGCACTTTGCAAGGATGTGCCGAGCTCACAAGTGGCGCCCAAGTCGCTGGGCCAAGATCAGCCTGGCTCCAGCTAGTTTGTTGATAGCAAGCAGGGAAGTAGAAAGTGATTTGGGTGACTTTTTGTGCGTTGCAAAGAACCTTCAAACAGAGCAGTTTCCACTATATGTCCTGCAGTGTGTGGTCGCGGCGGATCATAGATCAACATGTTTTGCAGAGATTGAAATTGAGTCAGACCAAAAAGTCGTGGCGGTCGTGGCAATTGGTTGACGTCCATGTTCGTGGCGTGGCTTGGTTATTTGTTCTTTCTTTGGTATGAGAATTCATGTGACATCAGTCAACAGAGAAGGAGATTCTTCCGACCAAATTATTCATGCCGCATGTCTTGAGCCCCCATATGAAGGACACCGCTGCAACTCATGGCTTTTGGATGCTTTTGGAGCAGTTGTGGTGCACAAATACTTGTACACACATACAATATTATTTGTAAGATCCATTGTGGTAGAACAGCATAGAACGCTTGCCGATTTTGAAGTGCGTGAAGCTGTCACAAGCCGAGGTTTTTGGATACCCAACTGCCTCCTGTGAAGGAAGAGCCGTTGGCTTCTCACTCTGGTGGCGCTGACCAGGTCGTAGCACAGTCACCAGTGGTGGCATCTTCGACATCGGGCGGATCGCCTGTGGCAGTTGAATCAACAGCAACCTGGGAAGCAAGACATATTTCCTTGCAGTTGGTGGGGCGACTTTGGGTAGAGCTTTGGGTCGCAGTCGCAGGACTTGGTGACAAGATTGGGACTGATGGTTTTGATTTTTGCCTAGAAAACCTTGACATGTGGACCCTGATTTCTCATGCCCGGAAACTATTAGCAAACCACAGCAAAACCTAATTGGTTATTGTTAATTGAGATTTCTTCAGTAATTGTATAGGTTACTGTAGAGATAGCTGTTTGAGCCAACATCGGAAATCAAGTGCTAGGTTGCTGGACGTGGGTTCCGCCAAGGTGGCAGGCAGCCTTAGTACTTAGGCGGCCTATGAACACTGTCAATTGTAGCCGAGGCCTTGGCTTCACCCGAGCCTCGCACGAACCTTGAACCCTCTCACTTGCTGGATGCGACGGGGGGGCTCAACAGGCGGGCTGATGGTTGATAAAGGACGTTGAAGGAGAAACATCAAATGAACAACATACGATATCTCTCTCTATATATATATATATGTGCATATATATATATATACATATCAACGGTAACCTAGAAGTTATGTGCCGTCTACGATGCATCATCAACTTCGATGGTTACATCAAGTGAACAATCAAATACCTGTTTCAAACTACGTGTTTTTGCCGTTGTGCTTGGTATCATTTCCAGCCCGTGGTGAAGTGGACGCAGCCGGTCGGCGTGGAAAGGCTGGCCTTGATCGAGCCATTTCGATGTATTTTCGTAGAATTCAGCCAGAATGCAGGGGGTACTTTACCTGTACCTGCAGAGAGATGTCAGTTCAAGCTACCCCGCGCCTGAATCGACTCTCGCAACCGACATGTTTCCTACATTTCATGTAGTGCAAGCACCATCTTGCACTGCAAGAGTGGCCTGCATGACATGTGGGAAATGAAGAAACAATTCCATCCAGCTACACTGGTTTGAGAGTACATGGTACAACTCCATAGTCTATAGAATTGATTTGCATCAATTTAACTATGCCATTAAGTTCTCAAACTGCCGTCCTCCGACCAAATGTTGTAGCGTTTCATAGGAAGCGGTATCGGGATGATATCTAATGGTGCCTGTCGTGTCCTGCTGGGAATTGACTGACTTTCCACATGTTTTCACTCAGAACTGCTTGGGGCGGTGCTAGAACGGACGGCGCACAGGTCTGAGCCGAGCACGGCGACCATGGAGACTTGTTCGCAATGTTCATGTGGCACGGTGACCAGTCAATGGCAGATCCCATCCACGATCTCCGTCGTTCGATGTGAGATTCGACATCCTATGGCTCATGAAGGCCACCAAAATCGCTAGCAAGAGGAGAAGTCCTTTGCAGAGCTAAGGAGTCCAGCGCAGCAACGGTGCACCAGGAAGAGTCACCGAAAGAGGAGCTCAAAGAAGGGCCATGGTAGCAGAGGTCAAGTGCCCAATATTTTCCACTCACTTCAATCTCATTTCCATATAAACATGTCCATTGGCACCCCGGCGTTTGCTTATGTTCGTGATCCAAAGGAGATGCCAGTGGCGGCACTACAAGCGACCCAGTCACCCGGAAGCACTTCAGCCATTAAGCACTGTAGAATTGATTCAAGCTCGAGGAATTTTGTGATTTACTGTACCTCAAACATTGGTGGTTTGGTTGGAAGATGTAAATGTTAGGACATGCCTTGGCTTCTTTATTTGCCATTTCTGTGAGGAAGTTAGAGCTATTTCTAAAATGTTTGCAGAATCTCCAGAGCTATTCCTAAAATCTCCAGAGCTATTCCTAAAATGCTTGCTGAATCTCCAGAGCTATTCCTAAAATCTCCAGAGCTATTCCTAAAATGCTTGCTGAATCTCCAGAGCTATTCCTAAAATGCTTGCTGATTTTCTAAAGCTTTCCCTAAAATATTCAGAGCTACTGAGCTATTACTAAAATTACTGCAGAATCTCCAGAGCTACTCCTACAATTTGTGCAGACTCTTGAATAGCTAATACTAAAACTTTCTGAAGTATGTCCTTAAACTTGTGTCATACCTCCGGAACTAAGTCTAAAGCCTTCAGAGCTGTGAGCTATTCCTAAAAGTTCACATTAGCTATTGGCCTAGTGCTATCTTAAGTACCCTAACACCTTCCGAACTTTTGTCCTACACACTCTTCTGATCCTCTCACACCTCAAGATAATTGCAATTTGTACATCGCCTTCACCGCTGCATACTATTCCTGGACTGGTCTCCTGGACTGGTCAGACTACTACAACCTGAGGACCAGAGTAGTAGAACATTGAGAGGTGGTAACCTGTACCGAAGTTGAGAGATTATATTTCGATTGATATTGCTACAACGAGACCTAAATCTCAACCACTAGTCCTTAGCACAGTACAGTACGGATCTAAAGTCGCCATTGAAAGCAACTCTGGGAGGCATTTGATATTCCATAATTGGAAAGCTTTCAAAACACCAGTCTTCAATGATCTTGTTCAAGTAAATCTGGACATATCTTATTTATGTATCTATACACTTCGACTCTTTCCAAAGGAGTGAAAAAACAACTGGTGATGGTCCGTGAACCGATGTTGCATCCGGGGTCCTGATCATTAGTTGGGACCATAGCCACGGAAGGCTGTGGAATCCACAGTGAAAAGACATAAACACAAGTGCACCTTTGGGGGCAACTTTACAGTACAACAAGGTTGGCAGGCAGGCAAGGTATGAAATCAGTGGAGTACGCCTTGCACTGAACACATTACACTGGGAAAGAATGGAATCAAGATTGAGTTGCTCTCACAAGTGTTTCACCAATACCAACTTCTGGCCGGCCTAGCCGCTGCCGTCTCTTTGCTTTGGGGGGCCATCAAAAAAGATGGCTTCTTGGTTGGATAGCTGTGACAGCCAACCACGTGGATGGCCATGGGACGATGTTGAAGAGCCAGGGTCAGAGACGGAGGTACACGTGAAAGAGGAAGTTGAGACACCGATGCGACTCAACTTCAACAGAAGTAATTCATGCAGCCATGTGATCATGTGAATCTAGATTCAATGTAGGTGTCCTGGCAGCAAATGCTGCGCCTCCTTTCAACTATGAGTCTGTATGACTAGACTATGACAATGACATGTCATGATCTGATTTATAATCTACTACTGCTGGAGACCAAAGACCCCAAGCTTAGTCAACCCACACTCCCAGGGAGATGAAGGAGCCGCAGCACCACAGACCGGATTTCCTTGATTGGGCAGATGATCTGCTGACAAAGCTCAAGGTGGACATGCCTTTCATCACTGGTCAGGCTGCTTCCCTAGACCCGAAACTGGGCATTTGGGGTAGGACGGGACGGTAATTCGTTTTTGCAGCCAGCCAGTTCACCAAGAGCCAAGAAAACAAGGAGAACAATTACCTTTTCGCATCCTTTAAGTCATTGTTTTCGTGGTGTAGGCGCTACTAGCTAGACTATGCTTGTTACTTCTGGGTCTTGGATGTGTCCCAGTTTTGATATTATTTATCCGGTCCAAATTTATGCATGACAAAAAATAGATTTTGGAGGTGAGAAGGCGTGCAGACTGTGTACTTGCTTGGTTATCACCAATGTTTGGGGCCCAGCAACACAACACAGCAGTAAGTAATCAGTAATCATATAATTGGATCTGCAAATGAGCCAGGCCCGGCGAAGAAATGAGCCAGGGCCGGCGAAAATACTCTAAGATGAACACCACACAGTCACAGACTCAGATACTCTAAAACTCTAAGTTACGCAAGCACCAACCAATACTTACAACGTACCACTCCATAAAGGGAAATGTCAAGCAGTCAGCAGTTATGTCAAGTCGCTTTTCTATATTTACTGCTCCCTCACCCAAGCCACGCACCAAGGATAGTTCTGGTAGAGGATTGCGCTGGCGGTGCAACTGCGACTTACTGCATGTGACTTGACTCAACCGACAGCAATGAGTAAGCCTGCAGGCTGCAGCCTGACAGTGTTCAGGTTAGACACCTAGTCTGGCCTGCCTATACATAAGACGATATGATATGACTAACTATACAGACTATACGTAGGCAATAATACAATAATGATATGACGATAATGACTCACTGATATGACTAACTAGACTAAACTAAACTAGATAAATAAGTTAAGGCTAAGGCTAAGGCGGCTAAGGCGCTAGTTGTTGTGAGAAAACAAACATGTTGCGGAATGGAAACGAAACAGCCAGGGCAAGCAGTGGGGGGTCACACTGACACTGATAATCCGGGATGCGTTAGTGCTTATTCTTGGATGGTATGATTTGATGGTATGTAACAACTAAGCCTTATCCCTGGGATGGATTCAGATGGACTCTTTTCTTGAGCTGCGATGTGGATAGCCTGGATTCAGTTGTTTCGTGTTTTCTTGCTTCTGGATTGTCCGTCAGTGCTTTGCTTACTTTGGGCCCTTTACGCCCACTTTGACACTAACCGTGTTCCTTGAAGATGACCAGAGCGTGCGCCGGCATCAGGAAGCAACTATCATCACTTCTCCAGCTCCCGTGGAAGACACTGGCAGTTTCTGACAGTGACGCCACGAAACGTAAATGGATGAAGACACATTATGAGAAGCATTGAAGCTCGCAAGCACAGTCGAGTTGTCTACTATAAAGATCCAGGGCAACCAATAGAGCAAGAAGAAACATTCAAGCACTTGTGTGTTGGGCCTGGGCTGAGGCTTGTGGCAATTAATAGTTTGCGCAACAATTTTCCCTGCAAAGACTCTTGACTTTTGACTACCCTTACCGACCTTACCTTACTTTGCCGTGCCTATTAGCCTATTGTTTGATTTTTGTTGGGCATGTTAGTTCATCAAGACCCCAAGACATGAAGAGATGAGTGTGCGGGCATGTTGTTCCATGTGTCCAAGCACCCCTGTAGAGCAAGATGAAGTCGAGCAAGACAGGTGATGATTGTGTTTTGGGACAGCAGCACCAAGGGTGTTGAACGACTTTTTCCGCTCACTTAGGCGTCCACATGTTCCACAAAATGGAGCGGGCCTTGGTGGGTGGACCTTGTGACATGCACCCAGACGAGCGCTGTGACATCAACAAGGAACCCGAGGACAGACTGTTGTTTTTGGCAGCCACGGCAGTGATGTCAATGTCAAGGTCTCCCTAACAAAGCATTCAGAGTGCTGCAGGAGTAGGCAAGGGTCCTAGGAAAATATCAGAGGTCAGGTCCCGGGACAACAATAGTCAGTGACAACAACACCCCGTCCCAAACTGTACAAACTCTGACTCACCTCCCCTCTGTTTGATGAATCATGCAGCCGCAGGACCTTTATGTGATCGGCCCACCATGCAGGCCGTACACAAGACTGAGCACCAAACGGCTGGACAAGACCTACAACCCGCTTTTACATGAGGCCGCTCACCCATTTCACGCAGCAGTCCAGCACATACGCATCTTGTATGCAGTGTTTGCTGCAAAGGCTGCAGGTTACAGTTTGCTGCGTGTTACATGATGTGCAAGTGGTAGCAGAGCAGAGAGCAGAGTCTATATTCCTTTGCGACATTCAAGACATAATAATTTTATATAAGTTGAGCAGGTGCAACACGGCTCACAATTCCGTTCTTTAGTTCTGGGCGGCATTGGGCTTGCCTACCTTGACCCCGGTGTGACACTGTTTTGATGTCCTCTAAGTCCCTAGTCACCAGTCGCCAGTTCTTGGCTTTGGCGTGTGCCAACCCTTTGAATCCTCTGTCAGTCTTGTGCAGACATATCAAATAGTGACTGTGGAGTTGAGACTTGTTTTCGTCCAAGGCACCAATCAACCAAAGACAGCTATCTTTGAGGAGGCTGGGCCAGCAAGCGCCAGTCATATGTGGTTCTTTTGGATTTTTTTGGAGTGGGTAACATTTTGCAAATCCACATTGAACCCTTTAGCCTTGGACTCGAATGTAATCACCCCTTTGTTTGACATTGGATTGGCCTTGTTGTCGGTGCAATGCGCGAAGTGACTCGCAAAAACAATATTTTGGGGTTCGGCGGTTCGGTTCAGGTTTTAGTTTTACCTGTCATACAGAGTCATACAGTCATACAAACGTGACAGGGCACTGTATTTAAGACCCTTAAGAGATCAAGGAGTGGAACTGGACCATAGTGAGCTTTGAATCATGGCGACTAGAGAAGTGGACCCTGCAAATGATGACTCAGGACTCAGTGTGAATACGTTTGATTTCTCATTCACCCCGGGAGGTCATGGGCATTTTCGATGCATTTCCAGCGATGGTGGCAGACTGTGGATTCGAGGCCTGTCACGGGGTGGGTCAGTCTGAATGTCGATGTGATCGATCACACAAACTTTTTGCATGGTCGCTGCCCGCTGTTTTGATTTTTAGTTGTGCCTGCAGCGGGTCATTGAGCATGAGTTGCGAGTCCCGAGTCAATTCCGGCTATAATTTGCTTTTGTTTGATTTGGGCAACGGTACTGGTTACTGGACTCTGAGTAGTAATGGCACGTGGCAGGACAGATTTTTTGACCAGACTGGGCCTGGGCAAGTATTGCAGCTCACAGTTCCAGGTAGACTGCACTCCACATATC